AATCAGATTTGATCAAAAAATCTGAATTGAGCATCAAGACCTGCAGAGTGAACGTAGCCTAAGGGAGGATTCATGGTAACCTGATGCAGCCCTAACTATATGCTGTATCAAAAGGGAATCTTAATCTAATCTTAAAAGCAGCAAGGTGACTGTTTCCTGAATCCAACCTGGGAGCTGGTTCCACAGGAGAGGGGCCTAAAAGCTGAAGGCTCTGCCTCCCATACTGTTTTTAAATACTCTAGGAGCCACAGGTGAACCAGCAGTACCAGAGGAGCTATTGTGGTGATATGGCACTATGAGGTCTTCACAAAAGATCAGGCCTTGTTACTTAAGACCTTGACTGTGAGGAGGATTTTGAATGTGATTCTGAATTTTAGCCAAGGAAAATAAGCTGATATGGGAAAAATATCCTCTCAAGTCCAGGTTAGTGCTCTTATTACTGGATCAACTCAAGGCTTTTCTAAAAATAGAGGCTGTCAAGGCAGCTGTGATTTAATGAGAGGATCCTATCCTCATATTTTCCCTGGTTTGCATCTTTTAGAAGCTGTTGAACAACCCTTAACTTTGAGTCACATGACCTGTATCTGTTGGCCAGCTTCTTGTTCACACCAAAAGATCCCAACTCAAGGAGAAATATTTGGGCACTTTATGCATAGAATCTGGCCAAGACATTCATTTAAAACTCCACCAACGTCACAAACACTCATACCGTCTGTTTACCTGATAATGACACATGACATTTTCCAGCAAAATCCAGAAGTTTTATTGTTCTGTTCATCCACATAGTCCTCAAAGGGATCTGATGTAAGAGAGGGGTCATTGTTGAGATCTCCAAGAGAGTTTGGCATGACGCAGTTATGCAGTGAGCCTTACCCGGGACCCGACTGCACGATACAGACGGTCAATTTGGTCACAAGTCTGTTCCTCCCACACAATCCAGCTCATGGACATCTTGATTTTTGGGGCTGTTGGAGGAAATCATGTTGAAAGTTAGAAGACCAGTTTTTCATTCAGACAACTAGATGTATCCAGCTCAGGGTTACGCACCAAATGTTGCACCAGTTTGTCCTTGTTCCCTTTGATTTTCCATCCTCTCAGACAGTGACATCAATGTGTTAATCAGCTGCAAAAGCACGCACAAGCAATCATGTTACAGTCCTGCTGGTAAAAGAATAACCATGTTCTACAACAGTTCTGACATTGTGGGAATGTTAGTAAAAACATGTAATTCATTTGCAAATCTCAAAACAGCGACACATGGAAACGTTTCAGGACCTCGAGGAGGTCGAGACCCCTGATCTAATCAGTTTAACTGACAACAGATAATTACAACGAATGGGTTTAAAAGGAGTATCTGAAGGAGGTCGTGTTTCTCTGGAGTAAAGCTGGGGCAGAGGTTCAATAATCTTTACCAAGGTTTGCTTGTTATCAGTTCAAAGCCCTGCATCTCTGATGTTATGGGGGTGCATTAGTGCCTATGGAGCTGGCAGCTTGCACATCTGTTTATGCTCTAACAATGCTGAAAGGTGCATATATTTGAAATAGAAGACTCCTGTTGCTGAACTGGCCGGCCTGCAGTCCAGACCTTCACCAGCTGAGAACGTTTGGTATTGAGATGTTGCTGCCATAAAATTCAAAATGAGCTCATGTTGTCCTTAAAATGGGAAATTTTCTCAATGTAAACATTTAATAGATTTTCACGTTCTATTGTAAATAGACTGGGTTTGTGAGACTTTCAGATCACTACTTTTATTTACATTTTACATAACATCCCAACTTTTATGGAATTGGAGTTGTTGTTGTTGTTGTTGTTCTATCAACTCACGAGATGTGCTCCCATTGTGGCTAGAGTGCCTCCCAGCTCATCAGCAGTGCAATTCTCAGGGACCTGATAGAGTTGCTGGTTGAGAATAGGCCCCACATC